GACATCTACTGCAAGTTTAGAAGATTAAGTCGGGCAATTTTGCGGGCTGGGACTTTATAAGGCATATGGATTTCCCTTTTGTACAAGTCTTGCATAAGGATCAGGAAACACAGACACATGAATTTGTGAATCTCAGTAAGAGCTTGCTAAATGAAATTGGCAGAATTTTGATTAGAGACGAAGCTCTTGATGTGAACTAATGGCCATTGGGATCATTACGCCATTAACGATATGTTAGGTCAGATTCATTATGGTTGCTTAGTTAAACTATCTAGTAGGTAAGATAAACCAGATGGATCTAGCAATAATTTATTGTCTTGTTCTGTCTTCGGTTCTCTTGAAGTTTTCTCACCATGACTTGAATGTGTTTTGCAGTTGGAAGCTCCTGTAGCAAGAATTTGTGGCCTTGATACACCTTTCCCCCTTGTTTATGAACAATTTTACATGCCTACAAAGAACAAAGTGAGTATATAATCTGAAGCAACACATATCGATCCATGCATATATTTGTATGTCAATTCAATTCTTCATATTTTGTTTTCCAGATCCTGGATGCAATCAAGGCAACAGTAAATTACTAAACCATGAAGCAGATGGAACCATTTCATTAAAGCAATAATATGATTGTGGATCCTGTGGAGGTGATCCTGATATGATCCACAAACTGTATATGTATTGTATGATTTGTTCTTTATAGGGAAGATTTTTATTGGCATCTACTTCGGCATACTTTAATAAATCCCAATAGTGGTGTTCAAATCAAAAAGCAAACTGATTTAAAACTGGTTTGATCTGAATTGATTCATTAATAATTCAGTTTTGAAGACTATAAATGATTTTAGTTCGGTTAATTGGTTCAAATCGAACCAAACTAAATCTAATCTGTTTTAATTTAAAATTATCAATTGGTTGAATTTAATATTTTTAATTTTTATTCGGTTCAAATTGATTAATCAAACCAGTCTAAAGATTTAATTTTATAAATGATATGAGTTTAATTTTATAAATCTTATTATGTCATTCAATTGGATTAAGATTTTATTTTTGTTTAATTGAATTGAATTGGTGTATTTTAAATATATATATAATTATTAAAAATCATAAATTAATTAATTGGTTAAATGAATTGGATTTATCGATTTTGAATTGATTCAATTAGGTAAATTTGAATCGATTCCTTTCGATTATCTTATTTTAATCAAATTAAATTAACGATATTCAAATCGGTTCGCTTCGAACCGGTTTGAATACCTAATTCTCATAAGTCTCTCGTATGTCATGGATATGTTGAATCATTGAAAGTACAAAAATTATGTGGATCCGAAGCTCATCCAATCATACTATGCACTGCATTGCCATCATGATGATGGGCATCAATATCCATGTCGTCGCTTATGCCATGTCCCTGGCCGTCACTTGCTTTCAAAGACGGTAAGAATGAAGCCCGCTTTCCTGTTTAATCTTTCCCTTGGTTGGTGAGAGTCGATCGTCAAATCTCTCATCGTGTCTTCCCTCCTCCTCTGTTTTCCATCCTGTGAGAAATCGGGCAACACCGTCACCTCTTTGTCTACGCGATCATCAGATCTCTCATTGTTTCTTCCCCCTCCTCTGTTTTCCCTCTTGTGAGAAACCAGGCAACACCTTCGCCTCTTTGTCTGCTAATTTTCTCTTTTTTCTTTTGGATTCATTATCGGTCTTGATTCTTGGATGCTAATTTCTTGGATTGTTTATCTTCTTTGGATACCTCTATGCTTTTGGACTTCTTCGTTCTTGGTGTCTCTTTCCATCGTTTTTTATTCTATTTTCCTTATTTCTTGGATCCTCGGTTTCCTTCTTGGCGTTTGTCCCCTCGATCTTATTTTTCTCCGATGCTAATTTCTTTGGTTGTTTCTTTGCTTATTGGTTGATTCGTTCTTGGGGATTCTTTGCCCGATTTTGATTTTAATATGCTACTTTCCTAGATCCTTAAGTTCCTTCTCTTTTGGGGTCCTTTTTTCCTATTCTCTTATCTTATGTTTTGAGACAATTCTTTACTCTTTTGGTTGGTTTGATCTTGATGTTGTTCCTCTATTCGACTATATGTTAAGGTTAGTTTCTCGGATCCACTTCTTTAATCGTCTCGGTGCTTTCGAATCCTTTATTCTCGATCTTATTTCTTTCACATTAGTAAGTTGCATGATAGTAACGGTGCCTTGATCTTCTCCCTAAATCCTTTCTTACTACCAATTTAGTAATTTATTCGTATTTTTATGTGATTCTAAGCTACATTATTGATTGATTCGTTCTTGCTTTTCCTTTTTACTCGATCTTCAATCGTAATGAATCTTTCTTGGATCCTTTTCTTCAGTTATGTCCCTACTTTCGGATTCATCTTTTCCCCCACATTGTTCTCTGTCCTTTTTGCTGGTTCGTTCTTGATGTTCCTCTACTCGACATTTACATATAGATTAGTCTCTTGGTTCCTTTTCCTTAGTCGCTTTGCAGTTCTTAGATCCTTTCTTCTTGATATTTTCTGTTTGATTTTTGTTCCTCTACGTCTCACTTGATCTCAGTGAAGTAGATGACATCTCGATCTTCTCTCTGAATTCTTTCCTCTTATTAATTTAGTGGTTTCTTGAAATTTCATGTGGATTTTTAAGCCACACTTTACGCGGGTCCTTTCATTCGTGAGGAAGGTTTCTTGTTCTTTTCCTGAAATTTTATTTCTCAATCAAGACTTTATTCCTTCTTGGGAGGTTTTTTTTTTCCTTTCTACTACCAAATGAATAATCCATCATCATCTATTAATCAAGATTCTCGAACAGTAGTACAAATCACAAAGAAAGCTAGTAGCTTATTGCAGTATGGTTCGTTTATTAGATTGCGAATTGTCTGCACATCACGTTTTAGATCCGATGATAAAATGTCACTGCAGTTAATGGGTTTACTACTTGTGCCGTGATATGCAAACACACAAATGGTATAAAACAAGTCTTGTTAAAAAATTGAAATTGAAATCTATTAGATTTGGAAATGATCAAATCTTGTGGTAGGTTCGGCTAAATTTAATTTGTGTCAATTGAAATATCCTTAGATTAAGGTTCATTTTAACTCATGATTTTGGGCATATACCTTTTAAGTCCGTATTCATATCTAAAATAACCCGTATATTTTTAAATGTAAGTTTTTTTCATCAAATTTGAGTTAAACATATGTTAGAGTTGACTTAGGTGATATATTGATTTATAATAAATTATTAATATAATAATACATATAATTTATGATTAAGGTCCATTTTAGCTCATGTGATTTTGACCATAAACTTATATTTTAAAAAATATAGCATATAAGCTTCTCGTATTAATTTCTTATCAATTTTGAGTTAACATATATACGTAGCATGCTAACTCAAAATAAACCATTAATGGCAAGAGGGGGCATCATTATGTTGTGGAAGAAATTATCAAACACTAACATCTGTTAACTTAGATTTAACGGAAAGAACATATATGTTATATTTTTTTAAAATATAAATATTATTTTAAACATGAGTAAATCATAAGGATTTAAGAGGTCTAAAACCATATGAACTAAAATTAATCTTAATCCTAAATTATATGTGTCATCATATTAATAATTTATTATAAATCTAAATAAACTCTATTATCTATTAACTTAGACTTGAAGGGACGAGATTATATGATATGTTTTTTAAAATATAAGGATTATTTTAGACATAAGTAAATCATAAAGGCTTAAGAGGTCCATGATCAAAATTACATGGGTTAAAATGGATCTTAACCCAATATCCTTTAATTGTATAAAAGGATAGCATAATTTTTTTATTGAAATAAGCTAGCACAATCTCACAGACTAATAAAGAGTGATGACAACATAATGAAGTCGAAGCCAATCTCAAATGAATCCATCATTGACCTGAACCACTTGCCCATTGACCCACTCGGCAACGTCGGTGTATAGGAACCCCACCAATGCAGCCATGTCCTCTGGCTGGGCTTGCCTCCACTATCCACTTCATGGCCTCCTGCTCTTCCCCGCGAAGAAGAGCTCCGTGGTCGTCGGTCCCAACGCCACATAATTGGCTGTCATCCCCATCTTTCGCAGCTCCTGCGTTAGTACTTTCGTCATTACCTCCACCATCACCTTCGACGTCAGATATGCTACATATTTGCTAGTGATATGTTTTCTGTAAATCAACCTCACGTGAGTGTTGATATGTATGACATGACTATCACTCTTTTTATTTATTATTATTATAATTTTTCTTATTTTATATTATATATATATATATATATAATTTTTAAAACTTTTGCTTATATTGTTTTGATACGTAATACTTTATATGGTCTGAAATTTATATCATTTTCATGGTTATGTTTATTATATTACTGTTTAGGACGGCTTTCATAAGAATTTATCATATTCTTGCAACCTTACTCTTCTTCTTGGAAGATGCTATGAGCATTACAAGGGCAACGTAGGGACTTTGCAGGGCGAAGGCAATCGCGGGTCGTGCGGGACCAAGGTGAAATGATTATTTATGAAAAAAATATATCGTGTGATAAAATTTTAAAATAAAAGTTTTTCTAAAAAATTATTCTATATATATAT